AAGGCTGCATTGCGAAATCCGCATCAGATTGCGTACCTCTGGCGGCGTCCTAGGGACAGGGCGCCAAAGACTCATAGCATCTCGGGTCTGGGAGTTCCCTTCCCACCGCCACAACGGCTCTGCCGAGATGGTATCCAGCACCCCAGGCAGGAAACTCAAACTTCCCACGGCAGCCCATTCCACAGTTGAGCAAGTGAGGCTACAAGAAACACCTTCCCTTATAAATGCCACCTCATGACACTGGAAGTCAAAAGAAGAGAAAACAGCGACCCTTCAATGGTTAGGACCCTGAATAGAGTAAGATGCAAGGGGCTTTGCATTCTGGAAAACCTTTCTGCTAACGTGTCCACGACCACCTTCCTGTTGGGGTCACGGCGCTCCACTCCTCACCGGAAGCTGCAGTGATTTCACTGCCGCTGGCACCTGGGCTGGGAATGTGCTCATCCGCTGCAGGCATTCCTCTGGCTTCATCAGGCAGCGAGTCCTGCCCTGGATGGTGGCCAGGCTCTCAGGACTGCGGCGGTGCATGCCACGGCACGGATCCACCGGGCTGGACGCGCGGAGAGGACGAGCGGCGGCTGGCAGAGAGCGAGCCCACTGCGAGCACGGCGGGCACTCTGCCATGCGGTTCAACATTGTTTTCTAAATATTTACCTGCACCCGCTCTGCGTGGGTCTCTGGGGAAGAAGGAAGCCAGACAGGATTAAGAAACGACTTCCCCCATTCCCTGTTTTGGGGAGATCCGTACAAGAAATGGGTATAGGAGACGGGACGGTGGCTGAAAAAATAATGTTTATTTTGGTTTTGCTTTTAGGAATTTTCAAAATACCCACCTAAGCAACCTCTGCATGATCTGAAATATGGAGATTTGGTTTCTGCAAAAGATATCAAAGGAAAACTGCCCTTGAGCCTTGATAGAGAGGGTCTCATCAGCCACTATTAACTGACAGCATGAACCTCCGAAGTGTTATCCCTGGATACATGTCTGCCAGCTGAAAAGACATGCCTCACTTTCTCCCGATTACAAACCATCCAGTCCATCAGACCACAGACAAGATTCTTAGGAATTTCCCCAAACTGGCAGACTTTGGAAGTGGCTAGCTTCTATCCAAGTTGACCGAACAGGAGTAACTTTCTGGTTCTACAGAATCCTTTTTCTTTCCCTTTGCTTTATATAGACACTCATCTTGCCTATTATTAAACAGGACACCCTCTGTTTTCTCAATACGCTTCCCATTATCTTCATCCTATTACTCTGACCCCCTATGGGCATAAGAATTGCCTAATCCACAGGCATGGAATCCCACCCAGCATGGCATATGACCAGTCAAAGTGGTAGGGGGGATGGCCCATGGTCATGGGATGAATAGCTGGATAATCACCCAATGAAGCCAGAGGCAGCCAGCCTCACAGAAATACTGAAATGCCCCTCTAAAGGCACAATTGATGTGCCATGCAACACGCTGAAAGAACAGAGTGCCATTCTTCAGGACGCAGTGCACTTATTCAGTGGGAGACCTCGATAGGTGTGTGCGCCCCAGCAGGAAGGCCAGATGGCCTGGGAGGCATCTGTGGCTCCACCACTAGACCCAGTGTCCTGCTACATGCATCTTTGAGCTTCCCAGCCCAGCACCTCTGGGCTCTGCAGGGTCACACCTGATCAATCTCATATGAAGCCACCAGTATGGGAATATATATTACAGTTTATCAGTTGGACTTCTTGATTGGAATTTGTTTTACTAATTAGTGTTTTACTAATTTTCTCATCTTCTTGATTGTGGTGGTGGTTATGTCAAAACTATGTCAAAACTCATCAAATTGTACATTTTAAACAACTGTGCCTCATAAAGCTGTTAAAAAAGAAAATTTGACTATATGAAGTGCATGATCTCAAAAGACAAAAATGTTGAGATTATTTCAATAGAGAGGGTGGTAAAAATATGAAAAGTAGATGAGAAAAATCAAGAAATCCTTCATGGAAGAAATAATCTTAGGCATGATTCAAAATTGAAAGAAAGTGAAAGTTGCTCACTTGTGTCCAACTCTTTGCAACCCCATGGACAACACAGTCCATGGAATTTTCTAGGCTAGAATACTGGAGAGGGCAGCCTTTCTCATCTCCAGGGGATCTTCCCAACCCAAGGATCGAACCCAGGTCTCCTGCATTGCAGGCGAATTCTTTACCAGCTGAGCCACAAGGGAAGCCTGATTCAAAATTAATAAAGTATATTTTCATGTGTAATTACAACTACTGCCTTTAAAAGTTGGAATGCTTAAAGAGAAGGCCTCGCCCACTCTTCAAATCAGGATGGGTTTGCATATGCAGGTTTGGGCAGGGCTTTAGGAGAGGGGAACTGCCGTGTGTAATAAGGGAGAAGCATTATAATGCTGGGAAAAGGGGAGGCACCTGGGAGAGAGGAGGGAGGGGCCAGCAAGGTGGACACTGCAAGGGTGAAGGAGGGAGCACTGAGAGCCCTGAGAAGCACACTCAAGCAAAGGGATTTTGAAAGAAAGGGAATTCATCAGAGAGGATTTTTAAGTTGTTTACTCTGGTGTATGTTTATGAGCCTGTCTCCCTCTGGTCACTCCCACACCGTCTTTTAAAAAAGGCTGCATTGCTCACTAATTCTTTTATGTGTACGTGGATTTTTCTGAGAATAATGAAGGGAGCAAAGGATGAGTTGTGTGTCTGTGTTGATGCAAGGCAAAAACAGATTACATGGAAAGGCTGGAGCTAAAGACTTCAGTGTAAATCCCTGGAAATGAGCAAAAAATTCCGGAACTGAAAGAGTTTCAAAGTCTATGGAATTGATGAAGTTCAGGTTGAGATTTCCCAGGGGTAAGGAAAGATCTGGTTAATATCTAGTTCTAGGTGGAAGAAATAGGAAATGGCCTAAGATAAATGAGATGATGAAAATATGGAGTGGAGAGTAAAAAAGACCCAGAGCAGAGCGGAAGAATTTAGAAAAGCTTGAGGGACTGCTAGGCTGAGAGGCTGTCTCCCCACCCCCCAGCCACCACCCTAGAGAAACGGAAGATGAGCCCCCAGCAGAAGCTGAGGGTTTTTCTTTCCCTTCCCTCTTCCCAGTTTTCTAAAGTAGCCATGTTGACCCAGAGAAACAACGGAGATGGGAACTCTCATGAAAGGAGACACTACCGTCTTTGTGGGAGAGAGAGGCTAGAATATAGACTAACAGGGCCTTTGTCCAATACCCACAGGCCATCTGTTTGGTGTTGTAACTGGCTCTGGGGAAAAACCCAGCCATGCAATTCAGGGGCCACGGACTGGATTATTAAGAGAGTTCAGAAAAACTGAAGAACAGTCCTCAACACTGGTTCATCAGTCGTATCCCACCCCAGCCCTGCATCCAAGTGTCTTGGCCAAGCCTCTCCTTTGTGTTAGAGCTGATCTAAACAGCAATGCTGAGCCTCAGAATCAGACGCTGAAGCCACAGTCCTGTCGTGGAGCGGAACCTCACCTTCTGGAGCAAATCCTGTCTGAGAGTGTGTTCCTTTGTTCAGGACAGGTCTACCAATGGAAGAAAATCAACTGGGGACCCCACACAGACAACTTTAGAGATTTATATATATATAATCCATTTTATAAATGAATAAGATAGAAACATAGGGCTCTGTTAATGCAATGTAGAAAGATTTATCTGTGAGTAGTGATTTGCCTAAAGAGGGGAGAACAAGAAATGAGTCTAAGCCCCTCATTCTTTTCTGGTTTTCCAGCATCAGTGTGGAGGGAGGAAGAACAAAGAGGGAGCATTTGGTAGGTTAAGGTTCTGACTATTCAGTCCATAGCACTCAAGGGTTAACCTTAATCTCTCCTTTTCCTGAGACCCAGGTAGACACCCACAGTCCGCTAGAGCTCAACCCTCTTAGAAAACAAAGCCCTCTTCGGAGAGAGCCACAGGAAGGAAAGACAACCGAGCAGACTTCGCCGGGTCCCGGCGAGGTCCGTCCAGGGAGTGAAGAACGGTGGAGCCGGCGGGTGTCTCGCCCACCAGGGGGCAGTGTGAGACACAGTGGAACGGGTGTCCGGAGGCAGACCTCTTGGGTCCTGATTCAGGGCAGATTGTTTTAACTTTTCCAAGGCTCAGATTTCTTGAGACACACGTGACCTTCATCCCTCACAGCGTGATTGTGAGGATCAGATGGGATAACGTACAAAACGCTATCCCATCTTGGAGCCTGTCTGCTGTTGTCACTGTTTGACCTTGCATGCTAAGGCTTGGGGCTCTTGAAATCTAGTCTCCCAAGAGCTTCCCTCAGAGGGCAGTTTTTCCCCCCAATCATTTATTCATCTATTCTTTGTTCCTTTGTTCATTTACACAAAATTTTCCCTTTAACAAAACACCGAGTATCTGTGATATGTAAGCCACTGAGCACAGAGCTATGCTCGATTCAAAGATGCATCAAAAGTCGCCCCAGTTATCCAGAAGACTGGTTCATTTGGTTTTGCTCAGTCTCATATAAGATTCTTTGCTCCTTCCTTCCCTACATGTGACCAAGTCTTCTGATTTCCTGGGGGAATTTTCCACAAAGGAGTGCATATGACATGGGACCCGCTTGGGGAAAGCAGGTATTGATGAATTTCTTGTCTTGTCCCCCACTTCCTAGCGTGGATTCTGTGATTGCAGGGCCCCCATGCAACTGTGGTTGACATGGGAGGGTAATTCTGCAGGGAAGGGGATGTGAGAGGGACCCTCCTTGAGGCATAGAAGTAGCATCTTCGAGTCAGTGATCTGGAGAATGTGACTCCCGCCCAGCCTGCTGAGCCCTCACGTCCCCATCCTGCTCCCAACCATAGTTTAAACATCCTGTTTTTGCAGCCATCTGGGCAGGCTTCTTGATGAGGACAGTTTGTGGAAGATCCCTGCTAGGAGCACCATGACAGGGTGATTGTAGCAGTCACCTTCCAATGTCTGGGAGGCTGGGAAGTTGCAGTGGCCTCCACGTTCCTTTGCCTTCCACAGTTCAGAGCCCTTCCTCCGTCAGAGGTTCCCTGTCTCTAGGGAACTCAGCCAGCAGGTGTGCTGAGCTGGTAGCCTGTCTTCCTCAGCCCTGACCTCCAGGGGCTCCTGGAGACACAAGTCACAAAAAGAGCTCATTTCCGAGTTATGGAGGAGGAGAAAAGGAGGAAGCAACTTACCAAGCAACTGAGGCAGACTACCAAGGAAATCTTTCAGGACCACTTCAGAGTCTCTTGTGGACCCACAGGGCACCCACAGGCTCCCAAGCCCTGTAAGGGATCATAGACAAACCACAGGGTCTGCAGTCCGTGGCAGCTCCCAAGTCCCAAAGCTTAAAGGGACTCTCTGCAGCAGAAATGAAGCCAGCTCTTTCAGGGTCTCCCCTCTCAGCACAGTGAGCCCCTGGGGCTACTGTCCTGGCCTTGGGTGCCTGGTTCCCACTAGTGACTCTCTTGGTCTTATTCAGTAGATTCCCGGTCCATATTCAGGCTAAAAAATCCCCACTGTAGCCCCAGTCCACTCTGATCTTGAATCCCACCCCTAAGTCAGGCCTACATGCAACCTCTCTCCTACTCTGTCACCCCAGACAGGGCCTGCGCAGTGTCCTTCTCCGAACCCCGGGATGAAGTACAGTCTCTCAGGCCTAACTCCAAGAGCGGCACTTAACAGCAGAAGCAGTATGGAACTCTTGGTCCAGAGATCTCAGGAAGACTTTCATCCTCTCACTCCCAGCATTCCTCAGTGTAACGTGGCCTCTCTGCCCCCAGGTACGAGGCTCCACCCTGGCTGGAGAACCTCCTACTAGCACTGAGACCTGGGAGCAGCTTTCATCCAACACTGGGCCCAGCTGGTGCAGAGACAGCCTCGGGGCAAACTGCAGGAATCATGAAGCTTCGGAGCCCGCTGTGGTGGGGCCAAAGCAGCAAGGAAGAATCTCGGCCAGAGGACACTGAGGCAGCCAGGACATTTCCATGTCAGAGTGCTGGCAAAGTGGCCCACAAGAGCCTGGCACACCGCCCGAGGGAGAGTTCTCAAATAACCCAGGTTTTTAGAAAGCCACCCTGTGAGGAGGACGGGGTCTGACTCTGAGGAGACAGAAGTGACCTGGGGGACTCAAGGGAGAAATCAGATCAGAGGCAACTGGAGAACACCCTGAAGATTCACCTGGACAGGATTCAGCTGGGGGGTGACTCTGGCAGGAGCCGTGTAGGTGAGTGGGGTTCATGGCGTGTGGCCCCCTGTGCACTGCTGCCTCCTGGGAGTCAGGAGCACCATCTGAATACCTCTTGGAAACTCTTTTAAAACATTCTTTATCGCTGTCTGTGCTGGGTCTTCGTTGTTGTGTGGGGGCTTTCGTCCTGGTGAGCAGGGGCCACTCTTTGCTGCAGCGCATGGGCTTCTCACCATGGTGGCTTCTCTTGTTGCAGAGCACGGGCTCCAGGCAGATGGGCTTCTCATCGTGGCGGCTTCTCCTGTTGCAGAGCACGGGCTCCAGGCAGATGGGCCTCATCGTGGCGGCCTCTCCTGTTGCAGAGCACGGGCTCCAGGCAGATGGGCTTCACGAGTTGCAGCCTGAAGACTAAAGCTTGGGCTCATTAGTTGTGCAGTATGGGCTGAGTTGCTCTGTAGCACGTGGAATCTTTCTGGACCAGGGATCGAACCCTTGTCCCCTACATAGGCAGGTGAATTCTTATCCACTGTCCCATCAGGGAAGTCCCCTCTTGGAAGTTTTCTTGCCTGATCCAGATGTTAGACAAGCACCAGAAGCCCAGATTATATGGTTTTGGGGTACAGCAAAGTTAGGGCTTACCTCTCAAGCTTCTTGAACCCATAAAACCATTTAGCAAATAGAGACTCAATCATGGCCTCTTCCTCAGTCCACCTTGCTCTCTCAGCCGCCCTTGGGATGAGGGATGGCTAGCTGAGGGAGAAACCCTTGGCAGGTCAGGAGACAAGCTGATCACAAAAGTTCAGCCCCCATCTTGGACAGTCCTCTCCTGGTTCCTCAGTTGTAAACAAGGAAGCTCAGATGGCCCTGAGATGTTGGCCATGGTCCACACAGGACCTTAAGTCTGAGGAGGAGAGCAGACAAACTTTTTAGCTTCTCACACCCATCATCATGGACAAATTGTGGCAGAGCAGGAATGAATGGGGGACAAGAGAGGCAGTGTGGAGTCACTCCAAGTCAAATAATGGCAGGACATGACCCAAGAGATGAGAGTGGGGTCATGTCCCAGCAGACTCCAGTCACAGAGGAGCAGAGACCCAGAGGCAGAGAAGAGAGAGGAAGAGGTCTGGAGGGGAGCATCTTCTTTCTACTTTAGGAAAAGGATGTTGGAGGTTAATTTAGGAATGCCTTTGAAGGCCAAAAAGTCCAGGGAAGAAGTCCAAGAAGACTGCAGCTCCTGAGCCATGACTGAAGGATGTCCTGAGAGCCAGCGAGCTGGGAGACGCACGGCCACTCAACGGGCGTCCGAGTGGTCGGGGGGGCCCAGGGGCTGAAGAATCGTCCCCCCCCACCCCGAAGAGTGCTGGTTGCCCAGTATCTGGAATGGCCAAGCCTTAACAAGCAGCCTGCTGATGGGCTGAGGCTGATACTGCAGGTAGAGAGGCAGAGCCGGTCTCAGGATCCTCCCACTGAAGTTCTCCTTGGCTCAGAGAGTCTGCCTGCTCCATTTCCTTCCATCCATAAACCAGTTTGAGGAGAGCTTATATTTTATTTTAATGATACCATGTTCTCTAATTCACAAACACTGTAGATCTCTCAATGTATTTAGGCCTTCTTCCATTTCCCTTGGCAAAAGTTCTGTACTTTTCTGTGTACAGATATTACACATACCTTGATAAATTTTATCTCTATTTCATATTTTTACATAAATGCTATTTTAAGTTTCCAATTGTTCACTGCTAATAGAGAGATAAAATTGATTTTTGTTTGAAATTCCATGGTGGTCCAGTGGTTAGGACTTTCACTGCCATGGGCCTGAGTTCGATCCCTGCTTGGGGAACTAAGATCCTTGCAAGCCATGTGGTGCAGCGAGAAAAAAAAAAAAAATTAATTTTAATTTAAAAATTTTTGGTTTTTTGACCTTATATTCCATATAACTTTTGTTAAACTCACTTATTAGTCCTGTGGCTTTTTCTGTTGACTATTCAGGACTTTCTACATAGATGTATCACCTGTAAATAAGGAAAATTGTATTTCTCCCTTTCTAACCTGCATGCTTTTTCTTTTTCTTGCCTTACTGCATTAGCTAGTACCTGCAGTACAACACTGGATAGAAGTGGTATGTACAGACATCCTTGTCTTGTTCTTGATCTTAGTCTGGAAAGCATTCAGTCTTTCACACTAAGTATGATGTTGGCTGTAGATTTTTTTGTAGATGCCCTTGCTCAAACTGAGGAAGTTCCATTCTATTCCTGGTTTTCCGACAGTTGTTACCAGATTGACTATTTGGTCAAATGTTTTTTAAGCATCTATCAAAACGAGCATAGAGTGTTTCTTTTTCAGTTTGTAAATATGGTGAATTGTGTTGATTTATTTAATGTTAAAACTAACTAGACATTCCTGGGGTAAGCCCTAGTTGGTCGTGATATATTATCCTCTAATATGTTGTTATATTAAATTTCCTAAAATTTTGTTTAGAATTTTTCCAAATGAGAGATAGTGGTCTATAGTTTTCTTTCTTGTAATATTTTTGCCTGGTTTTGGCATCATGGTGATGTCGGGGTCACAGAATGAGTTGGAAAGTATTCCCTCATTTTCAGGATTTTAAGAGCTTATTTAGAATTTTTTTCTTTCTTAAATATTTGATAGAATTCACCAGGGGAGTCATCTGCACCTGAAGTTTTCTGTGAGAAAAGGTTTTTAGCTACAATTTTGATTCCTTTAATAGATATAAAGGTGCTTCAAGTTACTTATTTCTTTAGTCAGTTTTTGTATATTCATAGTTTTTATTCATTTCCTCTATGTTTTTAAAGTTGGCACAAAGTTGTTCATAATACTCCTTTTAAATATCAGCACAGTCTATAGAGGTGTCACCTCTCATTCCTGATACTGTTAATTGATGTTTTCTTTTTTTCTTATCAATCTAGAAAGTTTATCAAATTAGCCCAAAATAACCAGCTTTTGGTTTTACTGGTTTCTACTTTTAGTTTTCTGTTTCCCTGATTTCTGCTTTGGATTTAATTTTCCCTTTTTGCTGCAATTTATTGGGATTTTAGCAGGGAGCAGAAACAACTGCATGGGTTCACTAAATGTTTATCCAGAAATCAGAGATGTGATTTGAGGGCGAGGTGGTGTACTTAGTTTTAGTTCCACTTTATGGCTCTTCCACTGGAGTTTATGGAACCACGATTTGTCGATTCTTCTAGGCTGGAAGGCTTCCCAGGTGGCACAGTGGTAAAGAAACTGCCTATCGATTCAGGAGACACAAGTTTGATCCCTGAGTGGGGGAGATCTCCTGAAGAAGGAAATGGCAACCCACTCCAGTATTCTTGCCTGGGAAACCCCACAGACAGAGGATCCTGGGGGGGCTACAGTCCGTGGGGTCACAAAGAGTCGGATACAACTTAGTGACTAAACAACAATAAAAATGTTTCTGGGCTGGAAACCTTGGAGTTATTAGTGTTTAAGATGTTGTTTGTGCAGTCTGATAGACTGAGGATTTATGTCCTAAATTTTCCCACTTTCTAACCATGAAACCTTGTAGAGTAATTTAATGTCTGTGAGCCTCAGCATCCCATCTGTACAACAGAGATAGCAGTATCTTTCCTTATAATGAGATAATCCATACCAATACTCTTAACTCCAGTACCTAACATGTTAGCTATTATTACTTTTTCATGACTTTCATCACAAAAATCTATCCTGCCTTAAAAACCCCTTTTTCATTTAAGCATTTTGTCATGTTAACCCTCCTGCTAAATAAACTCCAGTCTTCCACTGCTCCTCTCAAGAGAGTGGCAGTTAAATGTACAAGCTAGCTTTTCTTTTATAGCAAATCAGCCCAAAAACAGTGACATAAAAAAATGAACAAGTTTCCCCTCAAGATTCTGTGTGTTGGCTGGGCCATCTAGGCCAACTCAAGAGTTGGATGATGTAGGATAACTTCACTTATATGTCTGGGGACCAGTTCGGTGTCAGCTAAGACTTAGCCATGTATCACTAACCATCCAGTAGGCTAATGCAGGCTTGTCTGTGTGGTAGGATCCCGAGAGGAAGCGAGGGCAAGCTCTGAGGACCAAGCTCCTCCCACCGCAGGACCCAGCAGATAGTCCGTGCACCGCTTCACCAATCAGCCCGCTTTATGTTGGCACTGCCCCGCCCCGCCTTCTTGTTTCCACGCACTTCTTACTCCTGTCGTCCTCCTGTATGTAAGGTAACTTTGAAGGTGATCTTTTAAATCTTGGCAAATATAGGATGCTGGGCAAAGAACTAAGGAATAAAAATCTCCAGCTCCAATGTGAGGGGGTCCCTGAAGTCCCTGGATAACCCACCTACCCCTCTGGGACTCCGTCCTGCCTTGGTTCTGCCAGTTCTCTCAGACCTCAATCCCTCCCCAACCCAGGGAGAGCCTGAGCCTCCAAGCTGTCGACAGCCCCACTCCACCACCACCGACAGACTCGGCTCTGCCACCTGCCACTGGGCCAGCCTGCCCACTTCCACCTCCCCCTGACCTAAGGGAACAGCTCACTCCCAGTTCTCAGTCTCTGCTTTCCTGCTGACTGAGCTCAGAATTCCCATCCAGCGGGTAAGGGCCGGCCCTGGGGACCCAGGGAGAGCAACCCCCATCACATGGGCTGTGAACTCACTGAATCCAAGCAGACGGACAGCTAGTGGGTGTAGCTAACACATAAATGCATCCTGCAAGCAGACACCCATTCCTTCTTCCAGACTGGATGAACTGCACAGGTTTGGCAAGCATGGGTCTAAGGTGCTCTCAGCGGCTCAGCCCTCTGCCTAAAACACCATCCATACAGGCGCCTGTCTTCTGCCTGGAGGCACAATGCTTTATCCAGAACCTGGTCTCTGGGAGGAGAAAAGGTCAGTGCATACTTGGGAACAAGCTGCCCAGCCCCAGCCAGTTCACCTGCCCCAAATGGCTCAGCTCCACAGCTTTGTGACCTGGGTGGTTTCTGGTTCTCTGATCCACAGGTGATGCTCTAGGAGAAAAAAAAATGTCTCTAACTATATTTACCAGATCTTTTTTGGGGGGGGAGAGGACAAAGATACATAGTTTCATATTTATGTAATTGAACTTATTTAAGTTAGGACATTTTATTCTCCTTGTGCTCCACATATAAAAACAACAGGGGCCAGACTTCCCTAGGGGTCCAGTGGTTAAGAGTCCACCCACCAACGCAGGGGACAGAGGCTCGATCCCTGGTCCAGGAAGACTCCACATGCCATGGAGCAACAAACCCGTGTGCCACAGCCACTAAGGCCAACAGCTGCAACTCCTGAAGCCCACTCAGCCCAGAGCCCGTCCTCTGCATCGAGAAGGCCCA